ATCTTAAGACTTCAAACATTGGTGACAATACAACAACACATCATCTTAGACTTCACACATCGGTGACAATACAACAAACATCATCTTAGACTTCACACATCGGTGACAATACAACAACACATCCTCTTAGACTTCACACAATGGTGACCATACAACAACCCATCAAGTCAGACTTCACACATCGGTGACAATACAACAACCCATCATCTTAGACTTCACACATCGGTGACCATACAACAACACATCATCTTAGACTTCACACATCGGTGACAATACAACAACACATCATCTTAGACTTCACACATCGGTGACCATACAACAACACATCATCTTAGACTTAACACATCGGTGACAATACAACAACCCATCGTCTTAGACTTCACACATCGGTGACAATACAACAACACATCATCTTAGACTTCACACATCGGTGACAATACAACAACCCATCATCTTAGACTTCACACATCGGTGACCATACAACAACACATCATCTTAGACTCAACACATCGGTGACAATACAACAACCCATCATCTCAGACTTCACACATCGGTGACCATACAACAACACATCATCTTAGACTTCACACATCGGTGACAATACAACAACACATCATCTTAGACTTCACACATCGGTGACAATACAACAACACATCATCTTAGACTTCACACATCGGTGACCATACAACAACCGATCATCTTAGACTTAACACATCGGTGACAATACAACAACACATCATCTTAGACTTCACACATCGGTGACCATACAACAACACATCATCTTAGACTTAACACATCGGTGACAATACAACAACATCATCTTAGACTTAACACATCGGTGACAATACAACAACACATCATCTTAGACTTCACACATCGGTGACCATACAACAACACATCATCTTAGACTTCACACATCGGTGACCATACAACAACACATCATCTTAGACTTCACACATCGGTGACCATACAACAACACATCATCTTAGACTTAACACATCGGTGACCATACAACAACACATCATCTTAGACTTCACACATCGGTGACCATACAACAACACATCATCTTAGACTTAACACATCGGTGACCATACAACAACACATCATCTTAGACTTAACACATCGGTGACCATACAACAACACATCATCTTAGACTTCACACATCGGTGACCATACAACAACACATCATCTTAGACTTAACACATCGGTGACCATACAACAACACATCATCTTAGACTTCACACATCGGTGACAATACAACAACACATCATCTTAGACTTCACACATCGGTGACAATACAACAACACATCATCTTAGACTTCACACATCGGTGACCATACAACAACACATCATCTTAGACTTCACACATCGGTGACAATACAACAACACATCATCTTAGACTTCACACATCGGTGACCATACAACAACCACATCATCTTAGACTTCACACATCGGTGACAATACAACAACACATCATCTTAGACTTAACACATCGGTGACCATACAACAACACATCATCTTAGACTTCACACATCGGTGACCATACAACAACACATCATCTTAGACTTCACACTAATCGGTGACCATACAACAACACATCATCTTAGACTTAACACATCGGTGACCATACAACAAACACATCATCTTATCGGTGACTTCAACACATCGGTGACCATACAACCATACAACATCATCTTAGACTTAACACATCGGTGACCATACAACAACACATCATCTTAGACTTCACACATCGGTGACAATACAACAACACATCATCTTAGACTTCACACATCGGTGACAATACAACAACACATCATCTTAGACTTCACACATCGGTGACAATACAACAACACATCATCTTAGACTTCACACATCGGTGACCATACAACAACACATCATCTTAGACTTCACACATCGGTGACAATACAACAACACATCATCTTAGACTTCACACATCGGTGACAATACAACAACACATCATCTTAGACTTAACACATCGGTGACAATACAACAACCCATCATCTTAGACTTCACACATCGGTGACAATACAACAACACATCATCTTAGACTCAACACATCGGTGACAATAAAACAACCCATCAACTCAGACTTCACACATCGGTAACCATACAACATCACATCATCTTAGACTTCACACATCGGTGACCATACAACAACCGATCATCTTAGACATAACACATCGGTGACAATACAACAACACATCATCTTAGACTTAACACATCGGTGACCATACAACAACCCATCATCTTAGACATAACACATCGGTGACAATACAACAACACATCATCTTAGACTTCACACATCGGTGACAATACATCAACACATCATCTTAGACTTCACACATCGGTGACCATACAACAACACATCATCTTAGAGTTAACACATCGGTGACCATACAACAACCCATCATCTTAGACTTCACACATCGGTGACAATACAACAACACATCATCTTAGACTTCACACATCGGTGACAATACAACAACACATCATCTTAGACTTCACACATCGGTGACCATACAACAACACATCATCTTAGACTTCACACATCGGTGACCATACAACAACACACCATCTTAGACTTAACACATCGGTGACCATACAACAACACATCATCTTAGACTTCAAACATTGGTGACAATACAACAACACATCATCTTAGACTTTACACATCGGTGACCATACAACAACACATCATCTTATACTTCACACAATGGTGACAAAACAACAACCCATCAAGTCAGACTTCACACATCGGTGACCATACAACAACACATCATCTTAGACTTCACACAATGGTGACCAAACAACAACCCATCAAGTCAGACTTCACACATCGGTGACCATACAACAACACATCATCTTAGACTTAACACATCGGTGACAATACAACAACCCATCGTCTTAGACTTCACACATCGGTGACAATACAACAACACATCATCTTAGACTTAACACATCGGTGACCATACAACAACACATCATCTTAGACTTCACACATCGGTGACAATACAACAACACATCATCTCAGACTTCACACATCGGTGACAATACAACAACCCATCAACTTAGACTTCACACATCGGTAACCATACAACATCACATCATCTTAGACTTCACACATCGGTGACCATACAACAACCGATCATCTTAGACTTCACACATCGGTGACAATACAACAACACATCATCTTAGACTTAACACATCGGTGACCATACAACAACCCATCATCTTAGACTTCACACATCGGTGACAATATAACAACACATCATCTTAGACTTCACACATCGGTGACAATACAACAACACATCATCTTAGACTTCACACATCGGTGACCATACAACAACACATCATCTTAGACTTCACACATCGGTGACAATACAACAACACATCATCTTAGGCTTCCCGCATCGGTGACCATACAACAACACATCATCTTAGACTTCACACATCGGTGACAATACAACAACACATCATCTTAGACTTAACACATCGGTGACAATACAATAACTCATCATCTTAGACTTCACACATCGGTGACAATGCAACAACACATCATCTTAGACTTCACATATCGGTAACAATACAACAACACATCATCTTAGACTTCACACATCGGTGACAATACATCAACACATCATCTTAGACTTCACACATCGGTGACCATACAACAACCCATCATCTTAGACTTCACACATCGGTGACAATACAACAACACATCATCTTAGACTTAACACATCGGTGACCATACAACAACCCATCATCTTAGACTTCACACATCGGTGACAATACAACAACACATCATCTTACACTTCACACATCGGTGACCATACAACAACACATCATCTTAGACTTAACACATCGGTGACAATACAACAACACATCATCTTAGACTTCACACATCGGTGACAATACAACAACACATCATCTAAGACTTCAAATATCGGTGACCATACAACAACCCATCATCTTAGACTTCACACATCGGTGACAATACAACAACACATCATCTTAGACTTCACACATCGGTGACCATACAACAACACATCATCTTAGACTTAACACATCGGTGACCATACAACAACACATCATCTTAGACTTCACACATCGGTGACAATACAACAACACATCATCTAAGACTTCAAATATCGGTGACAATACAACAACCCATCAACTCAGACTTCACACATCGGTGACAATACAACAACACATCATCTTAGACTTAACACATCGGTGACAATACAACAACCCATCATATTAAACTTCACACATCGGTGACCATACAACAACCCATCATGTCAGACTTCACACATCGGTGACAATACAACAACACATCATCTTAGACTTAACACATCGGTGACAATACAACAACCCATCATATTAAACTTCACACATCGGTGACAATACAACAACCCATCATGTCAGACTTCACACATCGGTGACAATACAACAACACATCATCTTAGACTTCACACATCGGTGACAATACAACAACACATCATCTAAGACTTCAAATATCGGTGACAATACAACAACCCATCAACTCAGACTTCACACATCGGTGACAATACAACAACACATCATATTAGACTTAACACATCGGTGACAATACAACAACCCATCATATTAAACTTCACACATCGGTGACAATACAACAACCCATCATGTCAGACCTTACACATCGGTGACAATACAACAATACATCATCTTAGACTTAACACATCGGTGACAATACAACAACCCATCATATTAAACTTCACACATCGGTGACAATACAACAACCCATCATGTCAGACTTCACACATCGGTGACCATACAACAACCCATCAACGCAGACTTCACACATCAGTGACTGTACAACAACTTTCTCATTTGTATCTTCTCTTATCAGTGACAATACTCTAACTTTCCCGAACGTCTCACAATCTGATCATACTTGCCAAGCGTCGTCAAGCCATCGTCTCCTTTCCCCCCCGCAGTCATGCCAGGAGCAATCGGCCTTGACTGCAACTCTATGAAGGTCGTCAATCCGGGTGTTGGTGAGACGTACTCGGCATCACGTGACATGATAGACAACATGGACCAGGGATTCAGCGTCAATATGCAGTATAAGGTTAGAAGATCGATAGTAGCTGAGGAAACCATCATGTTTATTCCATGTGGAGACGCTTCTATGCCTCCATAATACTTTAGTGAACTGTTCGGTATATAAGGCCAACTCGTTTCCTTCCAATCAAATGTTCCGTATGTAAAGCCCTCTAGCTTCATATCAGTGAAGTGTTCGGGATATTACGGCCAACGTGTTTCCTACCAGTGACATGTTCAGTATATCACGGACCAATAGCTTCCTACTAGTGAAGCGTTCAATATATCACGGCCCAATAGCTTCCTACTGGTGAAGTGTTCAGTATAGAAATGAAGTGTTCAGTATATTACGGGCCCTCGTTTTCTACAAATGAAGTGTTCAGTATATTATGGCCCTCTTGTTCTCTACAAATGAAGTGTTCAGTATATTACGGCCCTCTTGTTTTCTACAAAGGTAGTGTTCAGCATATTACGGCCCTCTTGTTTTCTACAAATGAAGTGTTCAGTATATTACGGCCCACTTTTTTGTACAAATGGAGTGTTCAGTATATTGCGGCCCTCTTGTTTTCTACAAATGAAGTGTTCAGTATATTACGGCCCACTTTTTTGTACAAATGAAGTGTTCAGTATATTGCGGCCCACTGGCTTCCTACCAATGAACTGTTCCGTAGATCACGGCCCAGTAGCTTCCTACCAGTGAAGTGTTTCAGTTCATTACAACCCATTTGTTTGCCACCAATGCTCAGTATATTACGGCCTACTTGCTTTCTACCAATGAAGTGCTCAGTATATTACGGCCCTCTTGCTTTCTACCAATGAAGTGTTCAGTATATTACGGCCTACTTGCTTTCTACCAGTGAACTGTTTCAGTTCATTACAACCCATTTGTTTGCCACCAATGAAATGCTCAGTATATTACGGCCTACTTGCTTTCTACCAATGAAGTGTTCATAGAGAATCTCACCCAAGTGTCTTCTGATATCAATTATATCAACACGAGTTGATAAAGTTACAAATATCCGAGGCTTGCCGAGGATATTTTTACTTTTATCAACGAGTGTTGATATATTTGATATCAGAAGACACGAGGGTGAGATTCTATTTATCATCCAAAATCACTCTTCATTAATTTTCAATGAAAAATGTACATCTCTGAACATGGTACTGCCATTAGACTTGCAGTGCAGCGATTTCATAGCATTGTGACGTCATCAAGTACATGACATCATAGCATTGTTAGGGCATTGTACAAAATCTACTGTCAAAACGATATCTCCTAGGAGATATCGTTTGATCTCACACAAGCGATATCTCCTGTGGAACACAGTTTTGGATAATAAAGTATATTACGGCCCTCTTGCTTTCTACCATTGAACTGTTTCAGTTCATTACAACCCATTTGTTTGCCACCAATGAAATGCTCAGTATATTACGGCCTAATTGCTTTCTACCAATGAAGTGTTCAGTATATTACGGCCTACTTGCTTTCTACCAATGAAGTGTTCAGTATATTACGGCCCTCTTGCTTTCTACCAATGAAGTGTTCAGTATATTAGGACCCTCTTGCTTTCTACCAATGAAGTGTTCAGTATATTACGGCCCTCTTGCTTTCTACCAATGAAGTGTTCAGTATATTCCGGCCTACTTGCTTTCTACCAATGAAGTGTTCAGTATATTACGGCCTACTTGCTTTCTACCAATGAAGTGTTCAGTATATTACGGCCCTCTTGCTTTCTACCAATGAAGTGTTCAGTATATTACGACCCTCTTGCTTTCTACCAATGAAGTGTTCAGTATATTACGGCCCTCTTGCTTTCTACCAATGAAGTGTTCAGTATATCACGGCCTACTTGCTTTCTACCAATGAAGTGTTCAGTATATTACGGCCCTCTTGCTTTCTACCAATGAAGTGTTCCGTATATTACGGCCAACTAGCTTCCTACCAGTGAAGTGTTCGGTTTATTACGGCACACTTGTTTCTACCAGTGAAGTGTTCAGTATATTACGGCCCACTTGTATTCTGACAGTGAAGTGTTCAGAAGATAACGGCCCACTTGTTTCCCACCAGTGAAGTGTTCAGTATATTACGGCCCACTTGTATTCTGACAGTGAAGTGTTCAGTAGATAACGGCCCAGTTGTTTCCCACCAGTGAAGTGTTCGGTTTATTACGGCCCACTTGTTTCCCACCAGTGAAGTTTTCGGTTTATTACGGCACACTTGGTTTCTACCAGTGAAGTGTTCGGTTTATTACGGCCCACTTGTTTCCCACCAGTGAAGTGTTCGGTTTATTACGGCACACTTGGTTTCTACCAGTGAAGTGTTCGGTTTATTACGGCCCACTTGTTTCCCACCAGTGAAGTGTTCGGTTTATTACGTGCCGCAATTTGCACTCATGAAGCCTTGCAAAACTTTCCATGTTGAACATTGTTTCAACGAGTGTCTTTTGGTTCTGATTGTCATGAGTGAATTTTATAACATTGGAATCAAATAGTATCTTGGAACTGGAAGTGGGTCTTCATCATGTTCATCAGTGAAAAATGTCATCTTCATCAATACATCAAAGAAACAATGAGTCAAATCGATCCCACAATGGACAGGCACTGACGTTATCGTGGTATTTTTGCAAGACGACACATGGCACTTGTCGCATCTCTCCAGTAAAAGTACCAATGTTGTACATTTTGAATATTCGTAGGGAATCCCGGGCCTTATCTCTAACGGTGATCTTCACATAATAGTTTACATAGGTATCACTGATTGTTCGAGTCTTTTTGAATTTTATGACTAGAAATCAAAAGTTTTACTAAAAGGAATAAGAAAATAAATAGATTCGTGTAATATGTATTTTACTTGTGATTCATTGTATGAATACCTGTTTATGTTGCAATCCCGAAAATAACAGGTAGGTGTAAAGGGGTATTTTTTCACGAGTAACAGGTTTGTTCGATTGAAGCACGAGTAACTTATCAATGAATATTAATCAGGAAAGTAGTCCGTCATAACCTGACCCTAGGTCATCACCATGGAGTAGCCAATCACGGGATTAGAAATCGATCTCACACATGTGTCGTACCATTGTTTTCACATGGGTTTCTCACCAACGGCCCACTTGTTTTCTACCATGGAAGTGTTCAGAATATTATGGCCCACTAGCTTCCTACCAATGAAGTCTTCAGTAGATTACGGCCCACTCGTTTCCTACCAGTGAAGTGTTCAGTATATTAAGGCCCACTTGTTTTCTACTGGATATTTAGATGTTTGTGTGCCACGACAAAACCCGTTTATTAGTATGGGCATGTCTTGAACAGAAAGGTTGAGGTAAGGCTGAGATTGGGCTGGCGGGTTGTATTAGGTTGTCACACTCATTGCTTTGCCTTGGTGTTTTAGGGATTCTCAGCATGGTTTCTCAATCCCCCAGGTGGTGGCCGACACCGAGGCTATAGACTACACGAGGGCGGAGGAAGCACGGAAAGCGACAGTGTACGAATTTTCTCAGAAACGCGAAGCAGTGGAGTTTGTAATGACACTGTTGCAGCGCATCCTCGCCTTCATGTTTCTCTTCATTTTCTACAGGTGTGTAGTAGAAATGTCATTTACCTACAAGTCATGGTCAGACACATGGCAGTCATAGAGTGAAACAGTAAGTCATGGTCAGACACATGGCAGTCATAGTGTGAAACAGTAAGTCTTGGTCATACACCAGTAAGTAATGGTCATACACCAGTAAGTCATGGTCAAACACCAGTAAGTCATGGTCTGACATCAGTAAGTCATGGCCTCACACCAGTAGGTCACGGTATGACACCAGTAAGTCATGGCCTCACACCAGTAAGTCAAGGCCTGACACCAGTGAGTCATGGTCTGACACCAATAAGTCATAGTGTGACACCAGTAGGTCATGGTCTGACATCAGTAGGTCACAGTGTGACACCAGTAGGTTACGATCTGACATCAGTAAGTTATAGTGTGACACCAGTAGGTCATGGTCTGACATCAGTACGATCGGTCACAGTGTGACACCAGTAGGTCATGGTCTGACATCAGTAGGTCACAGTGTGACACCAGTAGGTTACGATCTGACATCAGTAAGTTATAGTGTGACACCAGTAGGTCATGGTCTGACATCAGTAGGTCACAGTGTGACACCAGTAGGTTACGATCTGACATCAGTAAGTTATAGTGTGACACCAGTAGGTCATGGTCTGACATCAGTAGGTCACAGTGTGACACCAGTAAGTTATAGGTGATCTGACATCAGTAGACACCAGTAGGTCGGTCTGACATCTGACATCAGTAGGTTACGATCTGTGACACCAGTAGGTCATGGTCTGACATCAGTAGGTCACAGTGTGACACCAGTAGGTTACGATCTGACATCAGTAAGTTATAGTGTGACACCAGTAGGTCATGGTCTGACATCAGTAGGTCACAGTGTGACACCAGTAGGTTACGATCTGACATCAGTAAGTTATAGTGTGACACCAGTAGGTTACGATCTGACATCAGTGTGGTCTGATCTGACATCAGTAGGTCACAGTGTGACACCAGTAGGTTACGATCTGACATCAGTAGTGTGACACCAGTGTGACACCAGTAGGTCATGGATCTGACATCAGTAGGTCACAGTGTGACACCAGTAGGTCAGTGGTCTGACATCAGTAAGTTATAGTGTGACACCAGTAGGTTACGGTCTGACATCAGTAGGTCAGCAGTGTGACACCAGTAGGTTACGATCTGACATCAGTAGGTTATAGTGTGACACCAGTAGGTCATGGTCTGACATCAGTAGGTACAGTGTGACACCAGTAGTAGGTCACGATCTGACATCAGTAAGTTAGGTCAGTGGTGACATCAGTAGGTCATGGTCTGACACCAGTAGGTCACGGTCTGATATCAGTCAGTCATAGGTCATGGTCTGACATCAGTAGGTCAAGTCATAGGTCAGTAGGTCATGACATCAGTAGGTCACGGTCTGACATCAGTAAGTCATAGTACAGTCATAGTTTGACATCAATAGGTCACGGTCTGACATCAGTAAGTCATGGTGTGACATCAGTAAGTCACAGTCTGACATCAGTAAGTCACGGTCTGACACCAGTAGGTCATAGTCTGACACCAGTAGGTCATAGTCTGACATCAGTAGGCCATGGTCTGACACCAGTAGGTCACGGTCTGACATCAGTAAGTTATAGTCTGACATCAGAAAGTCACGGTCTGACACCAGTAGGTCATGGTCTGACACCAGTAGGTAACGGTCTGACACCAGTAGGTCACGGTCTGACATCAATAAGTTACATGTGACACCAGTAGGTTATGGTCTGACACCAGTAGGTCATGGTCTGACATTAGTAAGTCATTGGTTTGACATCAGCTATACATAGCCTGACACCAGCAAAACTAGATCTGTTTAATGTTGATACCATTAACATGAACCAAATACTCTGTTTTCTATCTGGCGGCAAGTCGCGGCTCAATTATTCGGTAAACCACCTTTTACCAAGTTGAGAAAGACCGGAATCACACCAAAGTTGGGAAAGCAGGCCCAGGGAAGACACCTAACAAGCCTTTTCTACACTACATGTACACCTACCACGAACAACAGCAGAAACACAACAAGCCTTCTCTACACTACATGTACACCTACCACGAACAACAGCAGAAACACAACAAGCCTTTTCTACACTACATGTACACCTACCACGAACAACAGCAGAAACACAACAAGCCTTCTCTACACTACATGTACACCTACCACGAACAACAGCAGAAACACAACAAGCCTTTTCTACACTACACGTACACCTACCACGAACAACAGCAGAAACACAACAAGCCTTTTCTACACTACACGTACACCTACCACGAACAACAGCACAAACACAACAAGCCTTTTCTACACTACATGTACACCTACCACGAACAACAGCAGAAACACAACAAGCCTTTTCTACACTACATGTACACCTACCACGAACAACAGCAGAAACACAACAAGCCTTCTCTACACTACATGTACACCTACCACGAACAACAGCAGAAACACAACAAGCCTTCTCTACACTACATGTACACCTACCACGAACAACAGCAGAAACACAACAAGCCTTCTCTACACTACATGTACACCTACCACGAACAACAGCAGAAACACAACAAGCCTTCTCTACACTACATGTACACCTACCACGAACAACAGCAGAAACACAACAAGCCTTCTCTACACTACATGTACACCTACCACGAACAACAGCAGAAACACAACAAGCCTTTTCTACACTACACGTACACCTACCACGAACAACAGCACAAACACAACAAGCCTTTTCTACACTACACGTACACCTACCACGAACAACAGCACAAACACAACAAGCCTTTTCTACACTACATGTACACCTACCACGAACAACAGCACAAACACAACAAGCCTTTTCTACACTACACGTACACCTACCACGAACAACAGCAGAAACACAACAAGCCTTCTCTACACTACATGTACACCTACCACGAACAACAGCAGAAACACAACAAGCCTTTTCTACACTACACGTACACCTACCACGAACAACAGCAGAAACACAACAAGCCTTTTCTACACTACACGTACACCTACCACGAACAACAGCACAAACACAACAAGCCTTTTCTACACTACATGTACACCTACCACGAACAACAGCAGAAACACAACAAGCCTTCTCTACACTACATGTACACCTACCACGAACAACAGCAGAAACACACAAGCCTTCTCTACACTACATGTACACCTACCACGAACAACAGCAGAAACACAACAAGCCTTCTCTACACTACATGTACACCTACCACGAACAACAGCAGAAACACAACAAGCCTTCTCTACACTACATGTACACCTACCACGAACAACAGCAGAACACACAACAAGCCTTCTCTACACTACATGTACACCTACCACGAACAACAGCAGAAACACAACAAGCCTTCTCTACACTACATGTACACCTACCACGAACAACAGCAGAAACACAACAAGCCTTTTCTACACTACACGTACACCTACCACGAACAACAGCACAAACACAACAAGCCTTTTTACCTACACGTACACACAAGCCTTTTCTACACTACACGTACACCTACCACGAACAACAGCACAAACACAACAAGCCTTTTCTACACTACATGTACACCTACCACGAACAACAGCACAAACACAACAAGCCTTTTCTACACTACATGTACACCTACCACGAACAACAGCAGAAACACAACAAGCCTTTTCTACACTACATGTACACCTACCACGAACAACAGCAGAAACACAACAAGCCTTTTCTACACTACATGTACACCTACCACGAACAACAGCAGAAACACAACAAGCCTTTTCTACACTACATGTACACCTACCACGAACAACAGCAGAAACACAACAAGCCTTCTCTACACTACATGTACACCTACCACGAACAACAGCAGAAACACAACAACCAAATTTAATGAGATTGTGGAGATTTGAAGATTTTGCGTCTTAAGTTATTCACTGCATATACCTATCTATCTTGCAAACTCTTGCCGCGCTTAACTGGGATACAGCAATGTCTGTCGGTAAACAAATGGTTAGGAAGACAAAAGTGGTAAATGTATTGGTGTAAAATGTAGGTACACCTGTTGTCAGGTCAAACGTGGTCCTGTAAAAGGTAAGTACACCTGTGGTCAGGTCAAACGTGGTCAGGTGAAATATAGGTACACTTGTAGTCAGGTCAAACATGGTCCTGTAAAAGGTAAGTACACCTGTGGTCAGGTCAAACGTGGTCAAGTAAATTGTAGGTACACCTGTGGTCAGGCCAAACGTGGTCCTGTAAAATGTAAGTATACCTGTGGTCAGGTCAAACATGGTCATGTAAAATGTAGGTACACCTGTGGTCAGGCCAAACGTGGTTATGTATAGTTTAGGTACACCTGTGGTCCGGCCAAACAGAAATATGATGAAATATGATCAAATGAATAAATACAATCTGAAAGAGATAAATCACTTTTATACTTACATCGTATCTCACACGACATTGGTGATCACGCAACAGATGTTAAGTAGTAAAGATGCTATAGCGAACTTGTATTTCACAGAGCTTACGTGTACGAGAAGAATTATCTGACAGACTTCAAGTACGACAACGTTTACATAACGAAGTACTTCCGCCATATCGACTTCCGTCGGCAGCAGAAGGTAAGTGATGATTTATTGGGTAATTTCCACTTACACAGAGGGTAAGCCCTGTCTATGCTCAACCTCATTTAGCCTCAAACTGCACAATACGTGGAATGAATGTTCTTGAGTATGTTGTACAGAAGTCGAAAGTGGTCGATTTCTCGGCTTTCCTGATTCGCGCCGAAAGACGTATCAAGAAATGCTTCATATGTAAACAAAATATAATGTGTCATGGCCAAATGATAGGGGTGTTATAATCCATGACCATTCAGCTTATAAAACAAGTCGATTCCATGAACATTTACTACTTGCAAATATTAAAATCTTACAAAGTTTGGGACTCACTCTCTACCGGGATCGACTGTCTATCGAGGAAATGGTAGATGATGACGACCAACTTCCAGGTTGAGCATAGACAGGGCTTACCCCCTGTGACATGCTACTATCATTATCGCGTTAGCAACAGGTAAGTGAATATGGGGCACGGTCAGCATTGTTGACCCGAGTGACCACATCTTCCATCCATGTCTCCTGTAGCAACCGGTTAGTGAACATTGGGCACGGCTAGCAGTGTTGAGCTGAGTTGACCTGAGAGCCTTTTATCCATATATCTTTTATCTTATATTCATATATAGTTTAGCAGTCTTGACATGAAATTCTTCAAAGGCATTCAGAAGTTGGTGTAGTAATACAAGACAAATATTATGGATAACAACTTCTTGATTTATTTTACACAACGTTTCTGGGCTAGTTCTTGTAGAGCATTATCCACCTGACGAAGGAGCAAGAACTAGCACAGAAACGTTGTGTAAAATAAATCAAGAAGTTGCTATCCATAAGATTTGTCTTGTATTAGTCTTGACATGTTCACAACACATTGTCCATTTGATGGGCACAACATATAGACGCCATTATAAGTTACAATATGGCATATGTTACATGAAATCCAGTTGTAGACGTAGTTGTATTTCCACAAACATGTTCCAGGGAAAGGCAGTGCTGTTGCCCCTGAAGAAGATCGAGGAGAAGAAGGTCATATACCCGACTTCAAGGAAACTAATGGCCTCAGAAAAATCCAAACTGGTGGGATGTTAGAATCTTGTTAACAATCTCGAAATATGTGTCACACTAGTACCACCACCAAGGTGTGTAGAGACCTGTACCACCATCAGGGTGTGTAGAGACCTGTAGCACCATCTGGGTGTGTAGAGATCTGTACCACCTTCAGTGTGTATCTAGATCTGTACCACCATCAGGATGTGTACAGATCTGTAGCGAAGGTGGCTTTAGGGTTGATGATATTCAGATTGTATGACACTGGCAGTTTCGCAGAAGCTCGGAGGACTACGTGAACACACTTACCTTTAAATCACAGATGGTGACCAAAAAAACAACATATTATGCATACAATTGACGTTGATGAGTGATTTCATCTACAGGTGAAGGGGACGGTGCGGTTGATTTTCCGGGCTCTCATTACCGGCATCATCGTAATGATGGACTTCCTCCTGTTCTGGGTCCTAGACGTGATCCGACGCAACAGCAGGGTTGACTACACACAGAAGGGTGAGCTACCCACATACTACGATGTACATCATACTTCCATGTTCATGTCATCAATATGTAGTGTCACCTCCTGGTACATCATACCGCCATGTTCATGTCATCAATATGTAGTGTCACCTCCTAGTACATCAAACCGCCATGTTCATGTCATCAATATGTAGTGTCACCTCCTGGTACGTCATACCGCCATGTTCTTGTCATCAATATGTAGTGTCACTTCCTCATACATCATACCGCCACGTTCATGTCATCAAAATGTAGTGTCACCTCCTCGGTACATCATACTGCCATGTTCATCTCATCAATATGTAGTGTCACCTCCTGGTACATCATACCACCATGTTCATGTCATCAATATGTAGTGACGGCTCCTCGGTACATCATACCGCCTTGTTCATGTCATGAATATGTAGTGTCACCTTCTGCTACATCATACCACCATGTTCATCTCATCATTATGTAGTGACGGCTTCTCGGTACATCATACCACCATGTTCATGTCATCAATATATAGTGTCACCTCCTGGTACATCATACCACCATGTTCATGTCATCAATATGTAGTGTCACCTCCTGGTACATCATGCCGCCATGTTAATGTCATCAATATGTAGTGTCACCTCCTGGTACATCATACCCCCATGTTCATGTCATCAATATGTAGTGACGCATCCTGGTACATCATTCCACCATGTTCATGTCATCAATATGTAGTGACGCCTCCTCGGTACATCATACCACAATGTTCATGTCATCAATATGTAGTGTCACCTCCTGGTACATCATACCTCCATATTCATGTCATCATTATGTAGTGTCACCTCCTGGTACATCATACCGCCATGTTCATGACATCAATATGTAGTGTCACCTCCTGGTACATCATGCCGCCATGTTCATGTCATCAATATGTAGTGTCACCTCCTGGTACATCATACCGCCATGTTCATATCATCAATTTGTAGTGACGCCTTCTCGGTACATCATACCACCATGTTCCTGTGATCAATATCAAGTGACCCCTTGTCGGTACATCATACCGCCACGTTCATGTCATCAATATGTAGTGTCGCCTCCTCGGTACATCATACCGCCATGTTCATGTCATCAATATGTAGTGTCACCTCCTGGTACATCATACCACAATGTTCATGTCATCAATATGTAGTGTCGCCTCCTGGTACATCATAGCGCCATGTTCATGTCATCAATATGTAGTGATGCCTCCTTGGTACATCATACCACCATGTTCATGTCATCAATATGTAGTGTCACATTCTCGGTACATCATACCACCATGTTCATCTCATCAATATGTAGTGTCACCTCCTGGTACATCATACCGCCATGTTCATGTCATCAATATGTAGTGTCACCTCCTGGTACATCATACCGCCATGTTCATGTCATCAATATATAGTGACGCCTTCTCGGTACATCATACCACCATGTTCATGTCATCAACATGTAGTGTCACCCCCTGGTACATCATACCGCCATGTTCATGTCATCAATATGTAGTGACGGCTTCTCGGTACATCATACCGCCATGTTCATGTCATCAATATGTAGTGACGCCTCCTCGGTACATCATACCACCATGTTCATGTCATCAATATGTAGTGTCACCTTCTCGGTACATCATACCACCATGTTCATGTCATCATTATGTAGTGTCACCTCCTGGTACATCATACCCCCATGTTCATGTCATCAATATGTAGTGTCACCTCCTGGTACATCATACCGCCATGTTCATGTCATCAATATGTAGTGACAGCCTCTTTGGTACATCATACCACCATGTTCATGTCATCAATATGTAGTGACGGCTTCTCGGTACATCATACCACCATGTTCATGTCATCAATATGTAGCATCACCTCCTCGGTACATCATACCACCATGTTCATGTCATCAATATGTAGTGACGGCTTCTCGGTAAATCATACCACAATGTTCATGTCATCAATATGTAGTGACAGCTTCTCGTTAAATCATACAACCATGTTCATGTCATCAAAATGTAGTGACGTGAGAATTCTTTGTTTCTATCTCAGGGAAGCATCGAGTGAATATCAATGTAGAAGGACGAGGGTTCATCAGCGAAATAGTGCGACTCTTTCTTTTTAGTTTTAACTCCAAGCACGAAATTCATCATCTCACCACGAATGCAGGTATGTGACAATTTTTCTAAATGCAAGGTTTTGCTCTCAATGTAGTCTGACCATTGAGTTGGGTGGTGGGTCAACAACTATTTGTCCTTGTTCGCTTTTGTGTCAGGATAATCTAACAATTTTCGTCTTGATCTTGACGGACTTTTCCTTAGGAACTCCCGTTGTGGTCGAATGGAAAACTCCTATTGCACGTAAATTGATGGTATTTGTTGTCACGATCATTAGCAGATAGAAACAAGGTGGAGTCCCAACGTTGAGTATGGGTTTGGTACCCAGTTCTTGGAGGGTAATCTAGTATGTTAAACTGCGGAATGGGATAGCAATCAGTGGCATAGCATCATGTTCCAAAACCTCAAACGGACAGTTGACGTGTCTGTATGTGCCTGCTTGTATCCGTATGTGCCTGTTTGTGTCTGTATGTGCCTAGTTGTGTCTGTATGTGCCTGCTTGTGTCTGTATGTGCCTGGTTGTGGCTGCATGCGTCTGTATCTACATGGATGTGTCTTTGTGTGCCTGCATGTACCTTATGTGCCTTCTCGTGCCTGTATGTGCCTGCTTGTGTCTGTATGTGCCTGCTTGTGTCTGTATGTGGCTGCCAGCGTCTGTATGTGGCTGTTCGTGGCTGTATGTTGCTGTTCATGTGTGTTTGTGCCTGTTCGTGTCTGTATGTGTCTGCATGTGCCTGTTTGTCTCTGTATGTGCCTGTTCGTGTCTGTTTGCCTGTTAGTGTCGGTATGTGTCTGTTTGTGCCTGTTAGTGTCTGTATGTGCCTGATCGTGTGTGTATGTGCCTGCTTGTGTTTCTATGTTGCTGATTGTGTATGTGCCTGTTCGTGTCTGTATGTGTCTGTATGTGCCTGTTCGTGTCTGTATGTGCCTGTCTGTGTTCGTGTCTGTATGTGCCTGTTCGTATCTGTATGTGCCTGTTCGTGTCTGTATGTGCCTGTTCGTGCCTGCTTGTCAGTGGCATAGCATCATGTTCCAAGACCTCACACGGACAGTTGACGTTTCTGTATGTGCCTGCTTGTGTCCGTATGTGCCTGTTTGTGTCTGTATGTACCTGTTTGTGTCCGTATGTGCCTCATTGTGTCTGTATGTGCCTGGTTGTGGCTGCATGCGTCTGTATCTACATGGATGTGTCTGTGTGTGCCTGCTTGTACCTGTATGCCTTCCGTTCTCGTGGCTGCTTGTGTCTGTATATACATGCATGTGTCTGTGTGTGCCTGCTTGTGTCTGTCAGTGCCAGTTTGTGTCTGTAGGTGCATGCCTGCGTCTGTTTCTACATGCATGTGTCTGTATTTGCCTGCTTGTGTCTTATGTTGCTGCTTGTGTCTGTATGTGTCTGTATGTGGCTGCATGAGTCTGTATGTGGCTGTTCGTGTCTGTTTGTGCCTGTTCGTGTCTGTATGTGCCTGTTTGTGTATGTATGTCCCTTCTTGCGTCTGTATGTGCCTGTTCGTGTCTGTATGTGTCTGTATCTGCCTGTTCGTGGCTGTATGTGCCTGTTCGTGTCTGTATATGCCTGTTCGTGTCTGCTTGTGCCTGTTCGTGTCTGTATATGCCTGTTCGTGTGTGTATGTGCCTTTTCGTGTCTGTATGTGCCTGTTCGTGTCTGTATGCGCCTGTTCGTGTCTGTTTCTATCTGTATGTGCCTGTATGTGTCTGGTCGTGTGTGTATGCCTGTTCGTGTCTGTATGTGCCTTTTCGTGTCTGTTTCTGCCTGTTCGTGTCTGTATGTGCCTGTTCATGTCTGTAGGTGCCTGTTCTTGTCTGTGTGTGCCTGCTTTTGTGTGCATGAACCTGTTTGTGGATGGTAAATATCGTATCAGTCGGCATGAATGTTGTATGATCTTTGAATACTATCATGTGTGGTGTGCTTTCAGACTGCCTACCTTCTCCGACCAAGGTCGACATTCGCATCATCATCGCTATCTACAGCATCTACGCGAGCGTGTGGGTGTTCATGTACTTCGAGGCGTACGGCCTGCGACTGAGGAGGCAGATATGCTGCTTCTTCTACAGGAAGGTAGGTAACCCTGCTTCAACTTGAGGTGTTTCTGCATTGAAGGGTTGCCGCTTGTTGTGGCATGATTTAACAGAGTGACACTGAAGAACGTAGAGTGTTCTGGGAGGATTATCTACAATGCTAATATACCTACTGCAAGACTAGACAAATGTAGGTCTTGTCTGTCGACGAATACTAGTATCCAGTACTCCGATAGGAGGTAGACATCGTGGCTGTTGTATGAAATACCAATATCATTATCTAATGACATGCTAGTGTAAATATTTTCATTACATTCGTGTATTCCCCAAAATATGTCTCACAATTCACACAGGTAAACACGCACTCGTTACTTTCGGTCATCCGTCAAAATGGCGCATTAACCGCTGTAGCCTCGGAACAGAAACAAAACATTCCACAGCTGGGAAGAAACGGTTTATCCCCAGTGTGCCAACTTTCCTAAACACATCACGATTCACCCAAGCGAGGAACAACAGAGGGATTAACATGTACTAAAAGTGCTAGAATCTGTACTTACTAAGAAAGTGTAATCCCAAATATAACATATGATACATTTGACCACTATCTAAAATGGCATTGTGTATATCATAGCTTTCGGCCGTGGGAGCCGTGCCAATTAACACTTCCATTTTTGTGGAAGCCGCGGTGGCTGAGCGGTCTAGGCGTCTGACTTTGTGTGCTGGCGATTAGGTGCGTGACTCTGAGGGTGCGGGTTCGAATCCCGGATGAGACTCAACCCAAAAAGTACTAGAATCTGTACTTTACTAAGAAAGTGTAATCCCAAATATAACATATGTTTGACCACTTTCTAAAATGGCATTGTGTATTTAATAGAGGGTTTAGCATGCTGAGCATACATGTCAACTTTCGAAAAACCCTCTGCCTCCTGATGGGTGAACTATAGCTAGCCTGCGAAAGGTGAACGAAATTGGAATTGATTAAATATCCAGTGTTATGACTGGTGAGATGATTACATCTCCTAAATAAGATTTTGATAACTGAAGAATTTTAAGAAAATGCCATCACAGTTTATAAGATGAATACTGTTCAATATACACTACCCGGTCTTGGAATGGACCGACACTTGTCATGGCATATTGCATCATGTCAAACGTCCAGGTAGATGTTGAGTATACACTACTCTGGCTTGGAGTGACCGACACTTGTCCTGGCATATTTGATCATGTGGAAGTCAACATGGTGTGGTTCTTGTTTGTTGACCAATTTTGACATTGTCAAACAAAATAACTCGCCTAAATTATACATTTGAATTCACAACAGCACACCGTTTTGATGAGCTAAGAAGAGTTTTTGAGTTAATATCATCTTTAGATATTATTCTTTAGATCTACAAAAGAGATTTGTTCAATATTCTTACCCATTCTCGGCCTTTTTAATCACAATCTTTTCGGTCACATTGCCATGTAGTGTCACAGAATACCCAATTCACATGCAATGCACGTGAAAGTTCGGGATCAGATAGTCTCAATGATGGGTATAAAAGGTTGATCGCTGTCTGTCGATTATTCACTGTATTTGGAATATTGTTGATGAACACAAAATGCCACGTCTAAGTGAAGCCAACCGTCATATCGCCATTGATTTGCTTGAAGCTGGCCAGTCTCAACGTGCAGATGCCCGACGCATGAATGTTCACAAAAGCACCATTTCACGGCTCTGGGGGAGATATCGCTGGCAGAAAGCAGTAGCAGATGCCCCTCATAGTGGGCGACCTCGAGCGACCACTGCGGCGCAGGATCGCTACATCCGGGTACGTTACCTGCGTCATCAAATAGCTACGGCGACCAGTACCGCTAGACAAATACCCGGATTGAGGAGGCTTTCTACACAGACCATCAGGAACAAGAGACTGGTTTACGTGCCAGAAGACCTTATTTTGGCCCTGTGCTTCGACAACAACATCGTCGACATCGAGTTCAGGCCTGGAACCTACCGAATTGGCGTAGAATCTGGTTCAGTGATGAATCAAGATTTCTATTGGAACGATGTGATGGAAGAATGCGGGTGTACAGACGTCGACGTGAACGTTTTGCCAACGCTTGCGTTCCCCAGGTGGACAGATTCGGACGGGACAGTGTTATGATGTGGGGAGTGATCACCTGCCATAGGAGAAGTGATTTGGTGATGATCCAGGGCAACCTGACAGCTCAACGGTACTGTGAGGAAATCCTACGCTGACACCTCCTTCCAATCATTGATCGCCAAAGGGAGTTGTGTAAACAGGACAATGCCAGGCCCCACACAGCACGTCACACTAGAGACTTCCTCCAGAACCACAACATCCATGTGTTGCCCTGGCCCTCAAGATCACCAGACTTAAACCCGATCGAACATCTGTGGGATGCCCTGAACAGACGGGTGCGACGCCGTAACCCTCAGCCCCAGACACTTCAGCAACTCGCACAGGCACTACAAGCAGAGTGGGCTGCGATTGGGCAACACAAGATTCTGAGACTTATTCGTTCGATGCCGAGGCGATGCCGTGCAGTTCTGGATGCCCACGGTGGTCACACGAGGAATTGACTTCAGCGTCACCACACGTCTCCATGTGACACTCAAACTGACTTTCCTCGAGTTGGTGCCAAAAACGGATAAGTCTGCAATCCCAGTGTGCAATTTCGCTATATTTCATTGACTCATAAAGCCTACAAGATGTTTCAAAATAAACATAAAAATACAGTTGAAATTCCTATATGCATTTCTTTTTGGGGAGAGTATATTAACATATTACAATACTTTGTTTCTGGAAGTATGGTAATTCGAATGGTAATGGTAATTACATTAGAAATCTCATTAGGTATTTAATATCTATTCGAGTTCGAGTTCCATCTATTTTTCTGGACACGAGATATTAAATTTTATTATAACTATGATGTTTCTTTCTTGATCTATTAAGTCCATCAAAAGCTTAATTTCACGGCTTTCAAGTTTTTTACTTTGATTTCTAGTCTTTCCACTGATCTTGTAAACAAGATTGTAGGTGCCATTATATAAGTGTTTTCATGCAATGAATCATGGGTAATATGTAGGGGAATCCCCAACTTAAAAAAGGTTTTTCTATCTCCTCTACTGATGACCTCGCTATCCTAGCTATGATCGGTATCTCAAGTTAGTATTTTTATATTATCATTATAGGATATTTATATAGCGCACATATCCACGCACTAGTGCATGCTCAAGGCGCTGGTATTTTTTCCCTCGATCATTGGATGTCAATATCAACTGCACATCGTATTAGCAATCTCAACTCCCTGGGGAGTATACAACTCTTGCTGCCACTAGGCGCACCGAGTTATTGTGGCTTTCTCATCCTAACGAGGTACCCATTCACAGCTGGGTGGACTGGGACACATAGTCACAGTACTGTGTCCAAGTTTACTGCACGTTGCTGTACCCACAGCTAGGTGTTTGCACGTATTCATGTGGCCACCATCTGGTCATATACCAACGGATTCGTGGGTTCTTTTAAGTGCACAGGGTTGTGTACTGTACACTAGGGGTTGTGACAACACGGAAAGAGTCTGCACACAAAGTTGACTCCAAGGTTTTCACACCCGATCACAGGTGGGCTCGATCCCGGCAACTCAACCTCTCTGGATCAGTAGCCTGGCGCCTTAGCCAGCTCGCCCACCGCGCCCCCCGTTAGGACAGGGATAGGATAGTTTCGAGAATGGGTCTTATGCTAACGGTAGGCTATTATAACTTCTGTCTTAACTAGTTAGGATCTGTCTTAGCTTGGACACTTTCGAGAATAGGCACCCAGAATTTTTTTTATGAAGCTAATTTTATTCTTAACATTTAGCCTTGTTCAGTATCATATTCGGGGATATAGGGTACACGTTTTTTTATTCTTTGTAAATTTGTGTTTGCTGAAATAATATTCACATGAGCAATTGACAAATATAGTGTAGTTCACCAGTATTTTAAACAATTACTCAAGTGTAAGAAGATGAAACGTAAGAATAACTACAACATGTCCTTAATAGATCCTACCATGGGACCAGTATTGTAGTTTCACATGAACAGGCTAATGGAAAACAATTAAACTCAACCTCATAGCTAAAACTGGCAATATTGATGGAAATTATTTTGTTATTGAATGGAATGTAAAGCACGCATTTTTAATTGAATTGCCCTGTTCATTGATTGTGTTTCAAAGACACAACAGGCCGCCTCCGTGGTGTAGTGTTTAGAGCGTCCGCATGGAGAGCGGGAGGTCGCGGGTTCGATCCCCGGCCGCGTCATACCAAAATGTTAAATGTTGTACTTGTTGGTCCCTGTTGGCGCTCGGCATTTATGGGTACAACAAGGACTGGTCGGTTCGGAGTCAGTATAAAGTGTCTGAGTGGGGTATTCATGCATGGTATCTTAGTCAGCTAGCACTATAAAACCAGCTTCGGTCTGGGCTAGTACAAGCAGCCGCACATACACATACACACGCATGCACCTCGTCATATGAGAGAAATATTCTCCAGTATGACGTTAAACCCCATTTCACCTCACCTCACAAAAGACACAACAATGGTGAATAATAATTTGCCAGGTGCGCGTTTGTCAGAAACGTTTGACTATCATTGTTTGCGATAATACCGTAAACAAAACATAAAAAAAATAAAGTGTCCTATCCACGTCGAATTCTCTCCAAGTGATCTGAGCTACAATGAACAAATGGTAAGCATAGCAGAGTTATATCCCCTTATCGTTAAACGTTTATGACCTCTCTGTCGTCGTTTCGCAGAGAAAAATCAATTTCCAACATTTACTGCAAGTCATTTGTAGATTGAGTGTATAACGCTATGCATGAGCACACAAACTAATTTCATACATATTTATGTCGTTCAGATATCAGACAGTATTTTGTTCGCTCACACTTTCCGTAAAGATGCCAAAAATTAAAAGAAAATACAGAAGCCCTGTGCTTTTATCGGTGCAAGATAAAAAGCGGAGAAATGTACTGTTCCGATTGTATAAAGTCCGCCGCCATATTACTAGAATATTACTGAGTGCTGCGTAAAACTAAACTCACTCACCGACGTGTTATCAGTAAAATCATGATTTCGACAATGCTGGGGTATAGCATTCGACATGCATTGCGTGCCATTTCACGTGCATTAAATATCTCCACAAAATAATCATGCTATACGTAAGATGCAAAATGTTAAGAAATGTTTTATAGTTCTATGAGTTAGGTGTTGCCTAATCCTTTTTGCATATATAAATATTTGTTTTGTTGTGTTCACAGAGAGAGAAGTCAAGCATTGTTTGTGATGGGAGGTCGCATGCTGTGTTCACAGATAGGTGTATTGTTTTGCGATGTGGGTGTATGGCTAAGCATCTTCGTATTCATGGGATATCAACTCGAAGTCTCGATTGTTTAATCCAGAACTCCACTGTTACAACACGGGTTCCAACACATAGATGAAAGTCACTTCTGACTTGATGAAACATTCATGAGAAACAGATGTAACTGCGTTTAAACTCGAGCATAACCCAGCATAGTCCTAGATTAAAGTGATTTGAAACGTTAGGTGAAACGTTAGGTGAAACTTTCCTGGCGAATACAGACTTTAACCTGCCTTGTCCTGCAAAACAAACCTTCAGAATTATCACTTCTTGACGCGCAGACCACGCGTTTTTCTCCCAACCGTCAACTTCCGCTCATAACGTCCCCAATTAGAGTTATTCCCCTTGATACCAAAATTACTGTGAGCAAGAGTTGTACTCAACTTGATAAAACTTAATGTCTCTGAACAACTGAATCCAATACAATAGGGGAGAAGACTGTATACATATTCACACAGTTTTATTTGGAGACAAAAGAAAGTAGTGCTGACTATATGAATATTTCTTGAGGCTTCATTCAGAGAAGAGGCGAGTGTTGTATATTACACACTTTACGTGTCCGTACATCATACGTGTGATTCAATGATATTCGAAAAAAAAACTGCCACGAAGTACCAAATGAGTTCGGCATTCCCGGCGTGGTACATAGAAAACGTTACTTGCTTGTAAGAGCGCTCAGCCAATCAGAAAACGACATTTATGTGTGCGGCAAAAGAAGAATACATGTTCACATGCTGTTTGCAGAGAGAGAGACGATTGATCTACATGCATACATATTCACATGTTGTTTTCAGAGAGAGAAGAGACGAGTGTTCTACATGTATACATATTCACATGATGTTTTCAGAGAGAGAAGAGACGAGTGTTCTACATGTATACATATTCACATGATGTTTTCAGAGAGAGAAGAGACGAGTGTTCTACATGTATACATATTCACATGGTGTTTTAGTGTTCTACATGTATACATATTCACATCATGTTTTCAGAGAGAGAAGAGACGAGTGTTCTACATGTATACATATTCACATGGTGTTTTCAGAGAGAGAAGAGACGAGTGTTCTACATGTATACATATTCACATCATGTTTTCAGAGAGAGAAGAGACGAGTGTTCTACATGTATACATATTCACATGGTGTTTTCAGAGAAAGAAGAGACGAGTGTTCTACATGTATACATATTCACATGTTGTTTTCAGAGAGAAGAGGATGTTTGAGATGTATACATAGTCACATGCTGTTTTCAGAGAGAGAAGAGACGAGTGTTCTACATGTATACATATTCACATGGTGTTTTCAGAGAGAGAAGAGACGAGTGTTCTACATGTATACATATTCACATGATGTTTTCAGAGAGAGAAGAGACGAGTGTTCTACATGTATACATATTCACATGCTGTTTTCAGAGAGAGAGAAGAGACGAGTGTTCTACGTGTATACATATTCACATGATGTTTTCAGAGAAAAGAGGATGTTTGAGATGTATACATATCCACGTGCTGTTTTCAGAGAGAGAAGAGACGAGTGTTCTACATGCTGTTTTGTTTTGAGGTGTATACATATTCACATGCTGTTTTCAGAGAAAAGAGGATGTTTGAGGTGTATACATATTCAAGAGAAGAGAGGATGGACATGTATACATATTCAGATGCTGTGTTTTCAGAGAAGAAGAGGATGTTTCAGAGAAAGAAGAGACGAGTGTTCTACATGTATACATATTCACATGATGTTTTCAGAGAGAGAAGAGACGAGTGTTCTACATGTATACATATTCACATGATGTTTTCAGAGAAAGAAGAGACGAGTGTTCTACATGTATACATATTCACATGATGTTTTCAGAGAGAGAAGAGACGAGTGTTCTACATGTATACATATTCACATGCTGTTTCAGAGAGAGAAGAGACGAGTGTTCTACATGTATACATATTCACATGCTGTTTTCAGAGAGAAGAGACGAGTGTTCTACATGTATACATAGTCACATGCTGTTTTACAGAGAGAAGAGACGAGTGTTCTACATGTATACATATTCACATGCTGTTTTCAGAGAGAGAAGAGACGAGTGTTCTACATGTATACATATTCACATGCTGTTTTCAGAGAGAGAGAAGAGACGAGTGTTCTACATGTATACATATTCACATGATGTTTTCATGTAGAGAGAGAAGAGACGAGTGTTCTACATGTATACATATTCACATGATGTTTTCAGAGAGAGAAGAGACGAGTGTTCTACATGTATACATATTCACATGATGTTTTCAGAGAGAGAAGAGACGAGTGTTCTACATGTATACATATTCACATGATGTTTTCAGAGAAAGAAGAGACGAGTGTTCTACATGTATACATATTCACATGATGTTTTCAGAGAGAGAAGAGACGAGTGTTCTACATGTATACATATTCACATGTATACATATTGTTCTACATTTTTCAGAGAGAGAAGAGACGAGTGTTCTACATGTATACATATTCACATGATGTTTTCAGAGAGAGAAGAGACGAGTGTTCTACATGTATACATATTCACATGATGTTTTCAGAGAGAGAAGAGACGAGTGTTCTACATGTATACATATTCACATGATGTTTTCAGAGAGAGAAGAGACGAGTGTTCTACATGTATACATATTCACATGATGTTTTCAGAGAGAGAAGAGACGAGTGTTCTACATGTATACATATTCACATGCTGTTTTCAGAGAGAGAAGAGACGAGAGTGTTCTACATGTATACATATTCACATGAATGTACATATTCACATGAGACGAGTTTTCAGAGTAAAAGAAGAGACAGTGTTTCATGTATACATATTCACATGATGTTTTCAGAGAGATCTACATATGTATACGAGTGTTCTACATGTATACATATTCACATGCTGTTTTCAGAGAGAGAAGAGTGGGTGTGTGTGTGTGTCTCTGTGTGTGTGTGTGTCTGGGTCTGTCTTCTTCCTCTGTCTCCATGTGTCTGTGTGTGTCGTGTCTGTGTCTGTGTCTTTGTGTCTGTGTGTGTCTGTCGTTTGTCCCTCTGTGTTCCATTGGGTGTATGTGTACTGTTCCTCTGTGTCCGGTCTGTGTCTGTCTGTGTGTTCTGTCATTGTGTTCTGTGTGGGTCCTGTGTGTCCTCTGTGTGTCTGTGTCATTCGTTGTCTGTCTGTCCACTGTGTGTGTGTCATTCTCGTGTCTCCATCTGTCTGTGTCTGTTCCTTGTCTGTGTGTTCATTGTGTCTGTGTGTGCCTGTGTGTCTGTGTCTGGGTGTGTCTCCATTGTGTGTGTCTGTGTGTTGTGTCTGTGTGTGTTGTGTGTGTCTGTGTCTTGTCTTTCTGTGTCTCTCTGTGTGTGTCTGTGTCTGTGCTGTGTTCTCTTTCCTGTGTCTGTCTTTGTGTCTTCTCTGTGTCTGTCTCTGTGTTTGTCTGTCTGTCTGTGTGTGTCTGGGTCCTGTGTGTGTGTCTGTCTGGGTGTCTGTGTCTTCTGTGTGTGTCTGTGTTCCATCTCTGTGTGTTATTTGTCTGTGTGGCTCATCTCTCTCTGTGTCCTGTGTGTGTGTCTGGATTCTGTCTGTATGTTCGTCTGTGGGACCTGGTCATCTGTGCATTGTGTGTGTCTGGGATTAGATGGAATGTCTCTCATCATTGTTTGCTTTCATTGTCTGTGGGACTGCCTGTAGATGGAATCTCTGTGTGGTTTGTGGGTCATGGGACTATGGAGTCAAATAAATCTTCCTATCCACCACCACCTTCCTGTGTTTCCATCTATCCATTACCTTTTATGTCATCCATCTCTTCCATTCCTATCTATCCACCACTTTCTTTCTTCCATCCAGTCCTTCCTTCCATTCCATTCTTCCATCCATCTATTTATTTTGTCCTCTTCTTCCACCATTCCCTTCCATTATACCACCATTCTTCTTCCTGTATACTATCATTATCCAAGACTATTCATTCCATCTCTCTGTCCATTATATTCTGTATATTTTATCATTTATGTCTCTCCTTCCATTATGTTCCTTATCTATTTTCCTTCCATTTTCCTTATCTTTCACTGTCATTATCTATTTATGTGGCTCATCTCTCTCATGCATTATTACTGTATATTTCATTGTCTTCTCTCCATTCCTTATATTTCATTATCCTTTTCAGACCTATTCATTATTCCTCTCTGTTCTGTTTTCATTTTCTTTATGTTTATTGTCTATTTTCTGGTTTCTTCCATCTCTTTCCTTCCTTATCTGTGCAGACTATGTCATTCCATCTCTCTCTATTTTCTTTTTCTTTATTCATTCTTTTCCTGTGGTCGGCTCCATCTCCTGTCATTATACTATTTTATATTTCTTTCATTTATCTGTTCAGTTCCTGTCATCCATCTCTCTGTCCATTCTTCCATTATGTGTCCATTCTGTGTCCCAGACCATTCCATCTCTGTCCATTATATTTTCCTTTCCTGTGTGGGTTCATCTCTGTCTGTCTGTCTTTTCCTGGTGTGTCGTGTCCTGTCTGTTCTATTTTTCTGGGTTCTCTCTGTGTGTATTTTGTGTGTTTGTGTCTGTGGTCCTCTGTGCGTGTGTCTGTCCATTTCTTCTGTGTGTCTGTCTGGTCCATCTCATTTTTGTGTGTGTGTGTCTGTGCATTCCTGTGTCTTGTCTGTCTGTGTGTCTCTGTGTGTGTCCTGTGTGTCTTTCTGTGGTTCCTGTGTGTGTCTCTGTGTTTGTGTCTGTGGACTGTCTCGTCTGTGTCCTTGGTTGGTCTCTGTGTGTCTGTCCATCTCTCTGTGTGTCCATTTTTGTGTGTCTGGTTGGTCCATCCTCTGTGTGTGTGTGTCTGGGACTGTCTCTGTGTCTCTGGGATTCCATCCTCTGTGTGTGTCTATCTGTTCTGTGTGTGTCTGGATTCCATCTCTCTGTCCGTTCTATCTGTCTCGTTCCTATGTGTGTCTCTGTGTGTGTGTTTGATAGTGTTATGTCCAGTGTGAGGGTTTGGGATGAAATTTTTTAATAGTTTTACTTCCTGTGGAAGGAGTTGGATGATATTGTTTGATAGTGTTACGTCCTGTGGAAGGGGATGGATGATATTGATTGATAGTATTATGTCCAGTGGTAGGGGTTGGATGTTATTGTTTGATAGTGTTACGTCCTGTGGGAGGGGTTTGGATGATATTGTTTGACAGTGTTACGTCCTGTGGGAGCGTACAAGTTTATTGTATTGAGTTGTGGGTTTCGTGTCCTTCAACATGTCAGACATCGGTGAGCGGTCCACGTCGTTGGAGAAAGTTAAAGATAATTCTAAATATAAAACTAAAGCAAATATAGAGCCAGAAAATACAACGAATAACCCACCAGAAACACAACCATCAACAAGTAACTCAACCGAGCAAGGGGTTTACATCCCAAGCCTGTTTCATCACCCGCAAATCATAGACCCTCAAAACTGAATCTGCTTTAACCACTCTGCAATGTAAACACACCCTTGACCTTGCTGTAAAAACACACCCTATCATTGTATTCTCCTATTTCGTCTCACTGCATTGTTTGTACATTCCTAATTATATCTCCTTTTACCCTTGTGCTTGTATATACTCCATTTACATATCTGGCTTCCTGTACATCAGTATCACTATCACCATTATCCACCCGAAGAAGGGGCAAGAACTAGCCCAGAAACGTAGAGAAAAATAAGTCAAGAAGTTGTTATCCATAAGATTTATCTTGTATGTCTTTACAGAAGTTTAGTACAAACCTGACTTGAAATATGATATGCCTAAGGTCAAGATGTCAAGAACATTTAGATCATGTTCCTCGTTGAAGAAGAAATGTTGGATGATAATACTTTGGCCTTGATTGAGGAAACCACTGACTTTTGACTCTGAAAAGGAAATATTGGCTATGGAACAAAAGCATTCAGATGAAGTGCTTAGAAAATTAAGTTGAGAAGGATTTGGTGAAAAATTTAGATTGCAAGCGAAAAAAGTAGAGAAAAAATCGGATTCAAACAATCAACTCGAAGTACAAGGTTTTCATAGTATCTCATAATATGATTCACAGTACAGTGTTTACATATAAATATATCTAACCTAACCCTAACTCTAACCCTTACATATAAATATATCTAACCTAACCCTAACCCTAACCCTTACATATAAATATATCTAACCTAACCCTAACCCTAACCCTTACATATAAATATATCGCTACAGGTGCACTCACTGTAGTAGTTGTTTGTATTTGACCTACTTTTATGTTTGCACCTTTACAGCGTCCCACAGGTGTTTTCAGCGCCCTCTTGCAAGAGCTTCCGCGGTGCTGCAAGTTCCTGGAGAGATTCGATAAGATCAAAATCAAGTGTCTCATATGTGAGGATCCGAAGGACAACGAATTCCACGACTGTGAAACTGTAGGCTGCAATTTCACATACTGTAAAGACTGTTGGCTTGATGTCAAGGTGGGTGACAGCGTGGTGTGGATGGGTAAATACCCAGTGTATTGAACATTTCTCTCTGAGAACCACATTGGTTTTTTTCATATCATCAACGTCAGAGTCCTTAACGTCTTTAACATCATTGTCTTTCCTGTTTTTAACACTTTGGATACCAGAGGGACATACACTCTTCAAAATTAGAAATGCATAAATTATTTTATAAATAATTTATTGCGTCGTTAGTTTAAGAGCAAATATTTCATGTAATTTCAAAGGAATTCACAATTCACACGTCTATAGACAAAGAGTTCCCCAACACAACGGCAGCCTTTATTATTGTGTTTCTGTTCACTTGAGTCCACAAGATAGCGTCAAAGTCGGTACTTTGGCAGCAATTACTGCTCGGTACCTCCTCGGCACGGACTGGATAAGTCGATGAAGTCGCTCTTGCGAAATACGGTAGACAGTTGTGAAAGAGTCGGAGGCTTGTTTAGTGTTGACGTACATGTCGATCAAGTTCATTCGATAGGTGTTTATCTGGTAACCGTGAAGGCCATGGCAAGACATTGATGGTTGAATTGGCAAGGTAGCGGACCATGTCGCATGCTGTATGTGAAGTAGTGTGTGTGGTGTTTTCAGAGTTTTATTCAGTTTTGGGAACTTCACAGAACCTCCGGAGAGGGTAATTTACTGTAAGAAACAAAAATAAACATTAGAATGACTAGCAGCTCAAATGGTGAAAAATGTAATTTTTAGAGTAAAATTGATATTCTATACTTATCCTGACTCATGCTCTTTTGCTTGTCTTCTTCTTCTTGCGAACATAGTGGAAACACTTGTATCTCCCTAATTGAAGCTCCCTTCAATGTATAATCACTAATTAATACTCACCATGACTTGCCTCCCTTTGTCCCAGCGCGGGAAAGGTGGCGCCACCCTCTGGCCACATGCTTCACTCTCTCCTTATTTTTCGAGCCCAATACTTGAATTTACGGGGAAATCCAAAGTGTTATGTGGGGAGGATGGGAGGGCTTACCTCATGAGTCAGGATAAGTATAAAATATCAATTTTACTCTAAAAATTACATATTTTTCCTTATCCTAACTCATGCTCTTTTGCTTGTAGTATCCGACGGAATCGGAGGTGGGAAAGAGTAGAGACTTTGGATTTACCAGATTAATTAGTGATTTATATATATATATCTTTAATAACCCGGAACTTATAATGGCACTGATTGTAATCCTTTGCTATTATAAACTATAAATTTATACACTGCCATAGACAAAAAAAGGGGTATTACTATACAAAAACATACTATGAACATAGCAATAAGTATATATACTACTCCAACATGGAGAAGTTATCCAAAAATGTACATAAATATCAGTACTGGGCTTAAGGTTAGACTTAAGCTAGGTATATCAATAGCCCTAACAACTCCATAGAGTTTTAAGCTAGATTATACATGTATAAATATACATAATAATCTCGTAAGACTATCTTATCGTCTACGAGGGACTGTCAACTGCTGTGCGAGGACCATAGGACCGAAATGGTGAATACCTGAGACGTCCTCGGTGGTGATATCTCTCAGATAGTGATTAGCAAACACCATGTCGGATTTCCAAAAACATCCCTCCATGATGGTATTTAGTGAGCAGTTACCGTGTAGCGCGAGCGTGGAAGCTAAGGCTCTGATTTCGTGAGGATTTGCTGCTCTTGGAGGGTCTAGTCCAGCCGCCTTGTAGGCGCGCAGTATGACAGTTCTAATCCATATAGATATGGTGGTACGAGAGACCTCGGTCTGACTTGTCGCCGCTAAAGGGATGAATAATCGCTTGAGATGTCGGCGTCTTGGTTTGGAACGTCGTAGATAGATTTTGAGAGCTCTGACTGGGCATAGAGATAAGTCCAACGTATCTTGAGATCCGAGAATCGAGGATAGTGCAGGGATATGGAATAATCTGTCTGGTTGACCTGGCAATTGATTCTTAGCGATAAAGTCCCATCGCAAACCGATGTGCACTGTGTTGTGATTGTCATCAAACTGAATCCTCTCGTAATCTAGTGCGTGAATTTCAGACATCCTGGCTGCCGTAGCTAGCGATAACAGGAAACCGTTTTCTGTGTGAGAAGTTCAAAGTTCGTTGAATCTAACGGTTCATAACTTTCACTTGTGAGGTGTTGAAGCACTATATTTAGATCCCACGCTGGCGCGCTGAATTTCACTTTCTGATCTTCCAAACGAAAAGAGCGTAGCAAGGCGAGTAACTCTGGCGTCTTCGTTAACTTGACACTCGTTCTCATGGTAACTACCGAGCTAAGAGCGTCAAGATATGTTGACAATGTCAAGCCCTTCAAATGTTTTTTTTGACGTAGGTAACACAGATAATCAGCCACTTGTGGATGTGTAGCATCTCTCGCTGTAAGTCCAATTTTTGCTGCGTAGTTTTCGAAACTTTGCCACTTGTCGTCATACAAGTTACGAGTAGAATAGCGTAAAGCAAGCGTGACTGCTTTTGCCGCTCTTGTAGAATATCCTTTCTTGTTCAAACACACTTTAATACAGTCCATACGTGGAGTTGGTACACTTCTGGGTTTCCGTGCGCTTGTTTGGTGTGAGGATGTACCAGTAGATTCGAGCGCTTTCGTAGCTTTAGTGTTGGTTGTCCGATTTCTTGAATTAGAATGGGAAACCACGTTCTGGCTGGCCAGTAGGGCGCGACCAAAGTTAGTTGTAGCCTCTGTGTTTGTCTGATTTTCTGTAACACTTGAGGGATTAGCACTGGCGGCGGAAGCGCTGCAGCGTTGAGGCCTTCAAGGATATGCTTAGAGCGTCCGTTGCCCATGCTTGTGGATCCGGGACAGGTGATACGAATGTCGTTAGCTGATTGTTGAATCGAGTGGCGAATAGGTCTACTAGCGGTCGCTCCTAATTGTTTGATAATCTGTGCGAAGATTTCTGTATGGAGCATCCATTCTGTCGGTGCCGGTAGGCGTGGCGAGAGTCGTCTGCTAGTACATTCTTGGCTCGGGAATGTGACATGCTCTGACATGTAGGTTGAGATCGTTGATTAGATCGAACAGTTGAAAGCATACAGTCAATAGGCTTGATGATCTCGTTAAGCCTTGTTTGTTCACATAATACGCCACTGTTGAGTTGTCGGTATGAATCATCAGATGTGCCTGTCGTAGAATGGTACTCCAATGACGTATGGCGTTGATTACCGCTTTCATCTCTAACATGTTTATATGGAGCTTGCTTTCTTGCTGATTCCATATGCCTGATGTCGTCCGGTTGGCGAGATGAGCTCCCCAACCTTGGAGCGACACGTCTACATAGAGATGGGTTTGGAATCCCGTTCTGTTAAATAGATGCCTTCGCAGACATTCGACCTCCTGGTCCACCATAGTAGATGAGGTCTGAGGTGTACCGGTAGACTGAATGGTTGTAGATCGTCGAGATGGCGTTGATGAAGACCTGTAATGGAAGTAACTGTAGCCTGCCTCTTAGTGTCAAGTCTTGGGCTGGCGTGAGGAGACCCAATAGACTCTGCCATTGTCGTAGTGGTAACGGAGAGAGTAGCGCTGGTGGAATGGTCTGTTGGATCTTGAGCCAGCGGTCTTCTGGAACGGCGATCACGGTTGGCGTCGTGATAAATCGAATGCCTAGAAACTGCAGATCTTTGCGAAGGTACTAGGTCTGACTTGAGTAGATTTACTAACCATCCCAGCTGTGTTAGTAGCTTGATGATGTAGTTTAACTGTAGTTTGAGGCGCTGTGGATCTTGATCTACTTGTATCCCGTCGTCGAGGTAAAGCGCACTCGTAGCCCTTGACGATGTAGGTAGGTGACGATGGGTTTCGTTACTCTTGTAAATAACCATGGGGCTGATGATATTCCGAATGGGGAGTACTTTCCATTGGTAATGCAGCCCGTCCAGTGTAAATCGTAGGTATTTCTTGGATTAGGGATGTATCGGGATGTGTAGATACGGATCTTGTAGGTCTATACTGGCCATGTAATCCATGGGACGGATTAAGTGCGTAACTGGGGTAGATGTATCATCGCGAAACCCGGTGGTTTTGCGTAGATAATCTCTGTTGAACGTGCTCATGTTGTAGATGAGTCTGTATTTCTCCTTGGAGTTTTTCTTGGGTACTAGGAAAACTGGGGAGTAGAAACCTGGTTCGATGTTTACTTGATCTAGTACTTCTATGGCCTGCTTGTTCAGGAGGGAAGTAATGGCCTCTCTTAACTTTGGTAGTTGTTGTGTCTGGAAGTCGAACTTGTAAGGGTTGACTGTCAGCGGAGGCGTGGCCTTTAGTTGGATACGATATCCGTGATGAAGAATGTTGGAGACATATGGGTCTTGTAACATTCCCCAGTTCTCCCAGCATAGTTGAAGGCGTCCACCCACTTGTGACGGTTGTACTGGAACGGCTGGGGGGTGGAAGACTCCAGTTGTTCCGAACCTGACTTTCAGCGTTTATAGTTGCGGGAACCTCTGGGTGCCCTGCCTCTTCCTGATCCTCCTCTGTAGTTGCCAAATGGGCGACGAAAAACATCTCTTCCCCTGGAACTGGCTATCTTTTTATCCCGTGCTCTCTGTAATCCAGTGAATTTAGATTTCCCTGAATATCTTTGTGAAGTCTGTCTGATGACGCTGGCTAGCGTAAACCATTGACTTAATCATAAGGACTTCTCTGGAATCCTTAGTGACTTCCTAGGAGACTTTCTCTATTCCTCCATCGAAGATGGATGGAGCAGACCACGGGGCTGTATAGAGTGGAGCTGTAAACTGCTCACCCCAGTTGCAGGAAGCGAGGAGGCCTTGATGACGGGCTAAGGTTAAGGCTGCTGAGACTGATGTGAGATGATCCGTAAGGAACTGCTGGTCCTTCTTCTGCATAAGTAGGGCCGAGTAAACCCTTCTATCATCTTCAGATGTTGTGTCACGAAATCTGGTGATAAGAGTCTCATTGATCGTTCTAGATCCATTAAGGCCAAAGAACATTCGCCTAGTCATGGTTTCTAACTGAACCAACTTGCGATCGTCAATATTGTAGTTCTTGTTCTTGACATCACTGATCAACTTGTAGTTGTCGTCTATGTCTTGTGCCTTGAGGAACGGTTCCATGTTGTGGGTTGAAAACTTGTTAGCATGGAACAGTGGTAAATGTGCTGTTTGGACTTAAGTGGCTTTGTGGAAGTCCAAATTCTTCGGTACTGCAGCAATCGGGTCGATCGGTGGTAAGGTGATGGCATCAGCATCGTCCTCCTTCATCAAATATGTCTGTGCCGAGTTGTTACTCTTGGAAGGTGAAGAAAGGTCTAGGTTGTTTACCATCCAGTATCGTATCTCAGCGTCTGAGAAGATGATGCCTCCATCGTCTTCTGTAATGGGATCGTCGATAAGAGGTTGATGCTCTTGTGATGGCGGTATATATGGTTCTATCGCTGTACATGGAGACGATAATGGAGACCTGACTTGGGACTTCTGTGAAGACCTGTGTGGAGATGTGTGTGGAGATCGATGTGGTGATCGCGAGGTGAACGGCGAGGCGAACGATATGATCTTGGTGATCGGCCTGATGAGCTGCGTCTTGACTTTCGCGGAGATCTGTGAGGTGAACGCTGATAGGTTCGCGAAGCCCTTGAGGAATCTGCAGATGATCGTCTGGACGAAGATGATTTAGAACCTGCTACTGGTGAAGCCCTTCGTGAAGCCTTAACTGTGTCCGGTTCTGGGGAGTGACGGCTTGACCTTCGCGAAGGCTTTCGTGAAGTCGGGGGGGTTCGAGTCTGAGTCCAGGGACGACGTAGTCTTCCTTCTGGAATCTTTATAAGAGTCATGATCCTCCGAGTCCGGGGAAGGTGATGATCTTCTAACCCTTCGTGCAGGCTGTTCATCTGGGTCCTTCCTGGAGGTAGACTGTGACTTCCTTCGTGAAGGTGGCTTGGTCTTGGCCGCTACGTTGACGGAGTGTCCCTCTGGGCAGTCGTCTGCGTTGGTGCCTTCGTGGAGGTCCTTCTTGGCTGGTTGCAGTCTGTAACGGTCCTCCATCTGCATAATCTTCTGTATCATGTCGTCTGGGATGGTCTGCAACGATGTCGTCGATGCCCTCTCTGCGATGTTAGCGACGGGCCCCTCAGAATGATCGTCAGACATCAGTGTAGAGACATCAAGCTGCCTGGCGATCTCTGATGACGTTACTGTAGCTGACAGCAGTAGCTTCTTGTGGCGTAGATCGGGTATGATGATCGGCTGGTCGTCATACAGGCCCAGTTCAGCGACGGGAAGAATCTCGGCTGAGAACGTTCTAGCTGGCTTCTTAGCTTTTCCCTTGGAGGTCGACGCTGCCCTGGGGGTACGGAGTTTACGCTGTGACGAAGTCGATGCCCTCTTAGACTTCTGCTGCGAAGACGGGATGTCTTGGGAAGCAGGACACTTCTTGGAGGCGGCGGACTGCATCCCACGCCCCTCCTCCAAAGGAATCTCTAGCGGAACACCAGACGGGAGGGGGTCGTCCGACAGCAGTTGACTGGCTAGAGGGTCTGATGTATCGGCCATGCCTAAGGCTTGTTTAGGTGACCTATCTGCTGCACGTCTCAAGACGCAAAAACGATATTTGTTAAATGCAGAAATGGATAAATTAATACAGTAACTGCAACATGAAGTAAACGCACAAGGCGTAGTACAGCTAGGACATATTAAATGCGGATCAGCAGCAGAAAAACGTAATCTACAAACAGTACAGATTTTCATCCACGTAATCTAGGCTGAACAATCACGGAAAACCGTGAATAAACAGTAGAATTACGAGTAATAATCAATACATATTGTTAAAGGATACTAGCTACACCTCTTTAGTAAGGAATAAGAGGTAATAAACTAAGAATAATCAAAGGATATAGTGTGCAAGGAGACACAGGTGCTCTCACATCCTGCTCACTGGGCGAAGAAGGAGAGAGTGAAGCATGTGGCCAGAGGGTGGCGCCACCTTTCCCGCGCTGGGACAAAGGGAGGCAAGTCATGGTGAGTATTAATAAGTGATTATACATTGAAGGGAAGCTTCAATTAGGGAGATACAAGTGTTTCCACTATGTTCGCAAGAAGAAGACTGACTGACTGAGTTTAGTTTTACGCCGCTTTTAGCAATATTCCAGCAATATCACGGCGGGGGACACCAGAAATGGGCTTAACACATTGTGCCCATGTGGGGAATCGAACCCGGATCTTCGGCGTGACGAGCCAACGCTTTAACCACTAGGCTACCCACAGGCCCCCGCAAGAAGAAGACAAGCAAAAGAGCATGAGTCAGGATAAGGAAAAATATATGGTTTATTGATAAAATAACAGATAATCTGACATGATTTAGGCTTTAAATGATAGAAAATAACATTACATTGATGAGATGGGAAGAATAATTACTTACATGATAGTGATTGACTTGGATATAGCCAGATTGATGACCATGAAGAATTTCTGATGTTTTCACATGTGTTTTTGTAAAGGGAGATAACTCTAAAACTACCAACTTGAGCTACCAGCTTGCTAAAAACAAAAGGGAAAGAGTGTGGGTTCAAATCCGCTGAACCGCTAACTAGGAAAATATAGTTTTCTTTTCATTTTTTAAAGTTTTGTTGTTTTTTTAAAGAGTTCCTTCACACTCCCCTCCTGATGTTGATGGATATCATCAAAATCACTATGGAACTTTACAGTTGTTGGATAACATCACAGGAGATTGAAGTGAGTATTACAGTCATTGGGTTGAAATGAGTAGCACGCAGTCTGTAATTGGTCTGATATACTTGATCCTCTTGCCCTTCGAGATGACGGCAACTTCGACCTTCCGCACCATACCATCGTCGCTTGGGAAAGTTTGATCAACCAATGCCATTGGCCAGGCGTATCTAGGGGACTGGTTTTCTTTCAGCAAGACAAGGTCCCCCTTCACGAGATTTGGTCTCTGTACTTGCCACTTTGGTCTTGTTTGGAAATTTAGAAGGAATTGTGATCTCCACTTACTCCAGAAGATTTCTGCCAGGTGCAGAACACATTTCCATTGGCTTCTGTAAGCTTCCTGGAGGGTCACCTCTGGCATAGGCATATGGAAGCTTGACGATTTCTGTGTGAGGAGTGCGGACGGAGTGAGGATTTCCGGTGCTTCAGGGTCCGATGAAACTGTCGTTATTGGCCTGGAATTAATTATTGCCATGACTTCAGCCAGGAAGGTACTCAGGACCTCATGAGTGAGATGTTTGCTTGAAAGGTCCATCAACATTGAGTCCAAGATGCGTCTGCGTGACTCCGATCATTCTTTCCCACACTCCACCCATGTGGCTGGAGTGTGGGCGTGATTGAAAATCAAGTTGACCCACTGTCACAAAGAAAGCGTTTTGAATGTAGGCTCTTCAACAAGCACCGTTGATTTCAAGTTCGTTCACTGCTCCAATAAAGTTGGTGCAGCGTTCAGATCTGTACTGAAGTACTGGTCCTCGCAATGAGATAAATCTCCGCAGTGCATTGATGAAGGAGTATGTGCTTAGTTCTTCCAAAATCTCAAGATGTACCGCTCTGGAGACAAGACATGTGAACAGCACAGCCCATCGTTTGGCATTAAGCAAGACCACCTCTTGTCCGTCGTGCAACTATCTCCCAGGGACCAAAGGCATCCACCCCAACGTACGAAAATGGTGGACAAACTTTCAGTCTGTCGAGTGGCAAATCACTCATTTTCTGCCACTCAAGTTTTCCACGTAGTCTTCTACATGGTATGCATTTGCGAACAATAGAGGCTATCATCCTCTTGCCGCCTATGACCCAGAAACCTCCAGAACGGACTGCACCCTCTGTAAAGTGCCTACCTTGGTGTTTGACGTTGGCATGGTAGTAGCGAATGATGAGGGTTGTGACATGATGTCCTTTGGGCAGGATGATATGGTTTGTCTCTGAAACATCCATCTTTAAGCATTTCCCGAGGCGTCCTCCAACGCGTAGCATATCATTCTCATCTAGTATTGGTGACAAGGCTCTGATCGGACTGGATTTTGGAAGATTCTTGCCAGCTTGGAGGCATTGGATTTCTGAAGCATGCATATCCATCTGTGCTTGACGAATAATAGTGTGTTCAGTTTCTTTGATGATTCCAGGGATTTGCCAGAGTGGCACCAGAGAATGATCGTGCGACATGTTTGAGGTAGGCTACACTCCTAACGAGGCTGGTCCATGAGGAGAATTTCTCATAATGTTGAGAGAATGATGGATGGCTCACTGAGGTGGAGAGCACATGACCGGTTTTACCTCCTTGTCCTCCTCTGGCTGCACAAGTGGGTACTGTGATGTGTTCGTCAGTTTTACACTTTTTGGTCCATTTAACCACGCACTGCCTTGCATTCTCCTTGGAATTACACCTCTGGTACCTTCATCAGCTGGGTTCATATCAGTTGAGACGTATGCCCACTGCCAGGGTTTTGTAAAGTCCATAATCTTGTCAACCCTGTTCGCCACGTAGACATAGAACCTTTGTGAATGATTATGGAGGTACCCAAGCACAACTTGACTGTCTGTGTAGAACCTCATGTCTGACGCAGGAATGTCTAACTCCTTCTCGCTGATCTGTCCTATTTCTGTTGCCAATAAGGCGGCACAAAGTTCAAGTCTAGGTATCGTGTGTCCATGTTGCGGAGCTACCTTTGACTTTCCAAGAAGGAAAGTGTATCTGCTTTCACCAGCTACATTGTATATCTTGAGGTATGCCACAGCTGATATGGCATCTTTAGAGGCATCAGAGAAGATCTGTATCTCTCTCATTGGCTCTCCCGATGAGTCGAGATCTGCATACTTCCGTCCAATTGAGATGCTGTCTAGGGCTCTTAGTGAGTCTCTCCACTGCTCCCACTCCTGTCTTCGGTTCTCGGGGAGAGGATCATCCCAACCTGTTGTGGTAGTAAACAGGTCTCTGAGTAGAAGTCTACCTTTCAGCAATGCAGGCGACTTAAAGCCAAAGGGTCGTACAAGCTGTTGATGGTGGAAAGTACTCCCCTCCGTGAGTATTGTCGGTTTCAGTATCCGCCGCGAAAGGTGAAAGAGTCTAAGCTGATGTCCCAGTATAGTCCAAGACTCTTCTGGAGAGGTGCTGATTCAATTTCCAGTTTGATATCCTTCAGATCCTAGGCCAGGTCTTCATTGTTGAATCGTTTGAGGAGTTCAGGTTTGTTTGATGCAATCTTGTGGAGTCGCAGATTCCCTTCCTGTTTCAAGCGTCTGCTGAGTACACTCTAGGAGAGGTCGCGGACTCAACATCTGGAAGAGGCGTCAAACCATCGTCGGCGTAAAAGTTTTCGTTTGACAAACTGTTTGGCGTCTGGTGCAGCATGCTCAACAGATTTTCTCAGACCATATGCGGCCACTGCAGGAGGGTGAATTCCCAAACACATGAGCAGTCATATGGTATTCGATGAGAGGTTTGGTAAAGTCGTTATCCTCATACCACAGAAACCTCAGGTACCTGCGATGTTCCTCGTCAACTTTGAAGGCGTAAAACATTTGTTCAATGTCTGCAGTGATTGCAGCGTCATGGCGTCGAAACCTCATTAGGACTCCGAGGAGGTTGTTTGTTAAATCCGGCCGGACATTAAGGCGCTGTTCAACGATATGCCATCCTGTTTGGCAGAGGAGTCGAAAACACCTCGAATTTGGCTGGGTTTCCTCTTATTGTACACGCCAAATAAGGGAAGGTACCATGCCTCTTCACCTGTGACCCTAGATGGGGCTTTCTCAGCATGTCCACGTTTGATGATTTTCTCCATGAAGGTTAACATGTGTTCACGTTTTGCCTCATTCATCAACATGCTGTTGTGCAATGTCCTAGCTCTCCTCTCAACTTGAAAGTGATTGTCAGGCAGTTTCTTTCGTCCCTCCCTGAAGGGAAGAGGAGCGGTCCAATTACCGGAGTCTGTTTTTCTCATACCTTCTTCCATAAGCACTATGAATTCTCTGCCTTCTCGCGAGAGGCCTGGTTGATTATCTGCTGGGGTTTTCTTGAAGATTTCTAGAGTGTGCTGATCAGATATCTCGGAGACTGTGATGTCGCAGGGGCATGGATTCATCAATGAAGGTCTACCCGTCTTTAAAGCGTAAATCTTGTTGACGTTCACTTTTGTCTGATGAACTGCACCAAGGCACACCTCACCTATAATAGTCCATCCTAATGTGAGCTTCTGTGCAAATGGGGAGTTCGCTTCACCGATTCGTTGATCAATCACATGATGTGCGCTAGGCAGATCTCGACCAATAAGGAGGAGGATTTCAGCGTCATTGTCTATAACTGGTATGTCCTGAGCAATGGACTTCATGTGGATGTGATGACGTGCGACATCAGGTGTAGGGATCTCGTTGCGGACATTCGGAATATCCTCACATTCTATGATGGTTGGTAGATCCAGCTGTGTGTTTCCATTCGCTGACTTGATTTCATACCCATGGGCTGACCTACCACAAACTGTGACAGATCCTGAACATGATGATAGTGTGTACTCGACATCGTTACTCTCTCTCCAAACATGTCAAAGAATTTTTGATCGTGCGAGGGTCTGATTACTCTGATCGTCAATTATAGCATACATCCTGACACTTCTATCTGGCTGACCACTTGGATGGATATTGACCAGTATTGTTTTGCCACAAGACTTGCTCGTAGAGTTTGCCTGCCCACAGACCTGAGTACATTTGACTTCTGCTTGTTTAGCCTCTGTACTGTGTTTAAGTGGCGGGTTTCTCTGCGATCTGTCAATATGTGCACTGCTGGCCTCACCCCTGTTTAGTCCCACTTGATTTTTCTCTACGTGGAATGCCGTTGGATGAGCGAGTCCCACAGACATAGCACTTTACCTTTGCTGTACAAGTCTCATGCTTGAAAGGTCCACAGCACCGCATACACAGACCCTGGTTCTGAACAAAGTCTTTCCTTTCGACAAGCGGCTTTCATCAAAATTCACGACAGGCGTTGAGGTAGTGCCTAGTCCCATGATACGGACACACTATTGTGTATTTGTAGGTGTCCTCCTCATCAGGTTTGTCCTGGTTACTTTTCAGCTCTGTCTTCACCGCTTTGACTTGACCGATCGGTCGGCGAGGCGTGTACTGCTGTGCATTTGACCTGAGGGTTGAGTGGTGGTTACGAACCCTGGATCATTCCTCATTTTGGCCATGTTCTTGATAAAGTTCACTAAGAATGAAAATGGGGGAAATGCAACTTTATGGTTCTGCTTGTAGTTGAATGCCTGTGTTACCCATTTGTCCTTGATATTCCTAGGTAGTTTTTCCACTAAAGGGTTTATGCCTTCTGAGCAGTTGTAGTAGGACAACAGGTTTGCATACCTTGTATCACACATGTATGACTCGATTTCCTGGACAATGTCAAGCAGATCATACAGCCTGTCATTCTCTCTATCGTTCAGTTCCTTGAAGTTCATTACCTTCCTATCAAAGGGCAGCTTTTATATTCTCTGGTGACCCATATATTTCATTGAGTCTCTCCACACTTGATCGACTCCCGGCTGGGGAGTCGCGAGCATTGGCACTCTTAATGCTCTGCGCATGAGTAGAGGATCTTGGACCCAGCCACTTAATGAGGAGATCAATCTCGTTGGGTGCTGCTATCTCTAGTTCCGTGATGATATTTGTGAACGTCGACTTCCAGGGATCGTAGTCTTCTGGACTGTCTGTGAACTTTACAAGCCTCGAGAGAAGTAGATCTTTCCTAACCATGAACTTTTGAAAGTCCACACACATATTCATGTATGTTGGCTGTTGGGGGTGATATGGTTGGGCCAGTGGGTTTAGATTGAGAACGCGACTTGAGGTGGGAGTTTGGTGCAATGGTGTCGAAGCTTGGTATGATGGCATCGGAACTTCGCATGATGGAATCCAGGGTTCGCTCATCGGTTTCGTTGTGATAGTCAGTGTCTGAGAAGTCAAGACTGGATTCATCGATACTGGAGTCCATGATTTGTTCGATGGTCCTGGCTGCGGCCTCTTCCTCGTGGTACTGTCCCATCAGGCTAAGCAACTCCAGCTTAGTCTGAAGAGCAGCCTGCTCTTGTTTGAGAATGGCTTCCTTCTCAGCATACTCTATTTTAACCTTTAGCTGCTCTGCCTTGGTCTTGTGGGAGATTAAATCAGCAGTTATGTCATGTCCTACTGAACAAAAGCTTCTCTGCGATGATGTATCTGATTCATACTTGCGCTGTGGCTGTGTATCTATTTGGGAAGACTTGACAGTTTGTATTATTTCTAACACAGTGTCGGTCAATTTCCTGGAGAATAGCCTCTGTGTGGAAAGCTCACGTTCACTATCAATAGTTCTCATACCTTGCAGATAGTTTTCAAAGTCACACCACACATCCTCATGTTCCATGAACAATTTCTTTAAAAGGGGGACATCTTTCTCAAATTCTGGGGATGTATTGGCAATTTTCTCAATATCCTGTCTTAGTTTCAACAGTTTATCACAATAGTACTGAACTCGAGCATCATATGCTGCTTGTCCCTTTTCTGTGAGCTTGACAAGACGTTTATTTGGCATAACTGCTGTATCTTCATTTGACTCTGTTTTGACATTGCTGGCCATGATTTCTGGCTTGTTTTCCAACAAAGCTTTTATCATTAAATTACTGTGGTGTTTTCAGAGTTTTATTCAGTTTTGGGAACTTCACAGAACCTCCGGAGAGGGTAATTTACTGTAAGAAACAAAAATAAACATTAGAATGACTAGCAGCTCAAATGCTGAAAAATATGGTTTATTGATAAAATAACAGATAATCTGACATGATTTAGGCTTTAAATGATAGAAAATAACATTACATTGATGAGATGGGAAGAATAATTACTTACATGATAGTGATTGACTTGGATATAGCCAGATTGATGACCATGAAGAATTTCTGATGTTTTTACATGTTTTTGTAAAGGGAGATAACTCTCAAACTACCAACTTGAGCTACCAGCTTGTTAAAAACAAAGGGAAAGAGTGTGGGTTCAAATCCGCTGAACCGCTAACTAGGAAAATATAGTTTTCTTTTCATTTTTTAAAGTTTTGGTTGTTTTTAAAGAGTTCCTTCACAGTGTGGTTATGCTGGAACAATTCCCTCTGTCGATCAATAATCGAACATATGTGACATACAAGGACT